CCCCACCATTCTGTGATTCTGTGATTCTCATGGAAGACTGTGTAGAGTGGAGGACAATTCACCCTGCTGCAGAAGACAGCATGGCAGAGGCAGATTTCACCCCAGTTATAGCTACTGGATCATTTTTGGATCCTCTTCAGAAAGTTGCCCAAGATACTTACATTTGCCTGGGGCAAGACTGGGTTGTTTGGTGCTCCCAGGTCTATGGTCTCTTAAATTAAACTAGATGAGAAGGACTGATTGCCCACTTAGGGTGACCTTACCCAAGGATTGGGGTGCTCATCCCCTACCTGACTGCCTTAAGTAGGGTGCTGTCTGAAGGATGATGCCCTTTACCTTAAATAAATATATAAACTTAGACATAACCACATCCTGCTCCAAAGCCTCCTCATTTACTTCACTAACACAACATGGGGATAAACAAGGAAAAATCCTGGCTGTGTTGGGATGTGTGGAAGCTTGTTCATTTATTTGAGAAGAATTGGGGTTTCACCCTCAAATCTAATGTGAAATGCATCGTTTTGTTCCAGCACCCTGTGATGTGATGACCTCGCTGTGTTCTCACTCTTTGCTGTCAGCTCTTACCCAACAATAGTGCCTCCAACATAGTTATTTAGCTGTGTGGTCAGTCAAATACATGTTCTTTCTTTTGGGGAAATTGTTCTAAATTACATGAGTCACGTCCAGATCCAGCAAAGACTGGTATAATTAAAAGTCAGGAAAATTGAAAGTGAGGAACAAATTAAGGTTTGCTTTGCCCTTTTTCCTCTTTAATTTAAACTTTTAGGTTTCAACAGATGGTGGTTTATCTGACACACCCTGGTCTAAAGGTAGAATCAGACTCTGAGGCAATTTATACTTCCATCATGGGCAGAAACTGAAAGATCAAACAAAACCTTTTAAAATCCAGGGCTCTGAGGAGGAAAATCTTCTTCTTACTGTCCTTGGGCATCTTGAGACCTGGATTTTACATCAAGTGCACTGTGACTTTAAGATTATATCACAGAAGCAAGCACCAGATTCAGGTCTCAGATCAGGAGCTGAGATTCTCCAGAGCACCTCAAGTGATTTTAGGAGATCAGCTCAAAACCCTTTGTAACAGCCCTGGATTCCTGAAAGCTTTGCACTTGGCTTGTGAAAACCATGGTTCTGAGAAATGTCTTAAACACCAAAACAGTGACATCCAGAACCACCTCCATAAATAACTTCTCTAGAGATCAATCTAGTTGGGTGACTAGAGCAAGAGCAACAAAAAGTTGACAGACAAATATTATCTGAAGTAAAAGTCACAGAGAGTTGTTAAAAGCTATTATTCACTCCTGTGCATGAGAAGTTCTCCTCACAGACTTTCAGTGCTTATCAAAAGCAAAGTGTTAGCACAGGAACATTTTCACAAGTGCAGCTGAACCACAAGTGATGTCCCAGCTCCCTGGGACCCTCTTGCAAATATTTCTGCTGTCAATACAGTTGCAAATTGTGGTGGGACTCACAGGCAAACTTCCAATTAGGCAACAGAAACAAAGCCACGTGATGTGAGTTGTTTCCAGTCATGTGAGCCAAATAATAAAGATTGTTTTTGTTCCAATGAGGAGAAAGGAAGGATCACTGGGAAGTGTGGTCTTGGTGTCTGCTTGCTCCTACACTTGTGAAGAGCATCAGAGCCCATTCTCCAGCCCTGAAAACAGCTGCCCTGCTCTGGTTGTGTCTACTCTATTGACCTCCTCTGACCTCCAGAAAAGATGTGCCTCAACCACGTTTCCTCCTGGGAATTATCCCCAGGCTGTGCTGACTCCTGAGCTGGTTTGGGAGCTGCTTGGGTCAGCACTAGTTGGCCCAGGCCAAATTTGTGCCAAAGACCATGATAGCAACACAACATAGAATCACAGAATCATAGAATAACAAGTCAAAAGGGACCTCAAGGATCATCTGGTCCAACCTTTCTTGGCCAAACACATAAAAGATGAGCTTCCAGCACCCATGCCCTGGCTCTGTGTATTTTCCTAGCATAGGTGTAGAGTTTGTGTCTTGTCTTCCTCTTTATGAAACTACCAGTTCACAACTACTAGAGATAAATACATGTGTAAGATAGGGCCCAAGGCTGGGATGGGAGGATGACAGAAATATGGACCAGCTTCTAATGAAGCAGGAACCAACAGATAATGTACCCGTAAGAGCTGGATGAGGAGGGGTCTGAGACATCATGTATACAAAAGAAAAAGAAGTATTATTCATTAGATATGACATGGTCAGAACAAGAGGTTTCCACAACAGTGCGAAACAGAAGGAAGCACTTTGTCTCACCATGCAGAAATTACTGAGGTTAACCACAAGACCTTATAGTCATGAGTATTCCAGGTCATTCCACCTGGAATACTGCTTCCAGTTCTGGAGCCCCCATCACAAGAGAGACCTGGAGCAGCTAGAACAAGTCCAGAGGAGGCCACCAGGATGATCCAAAGACTGGAGCACCTCTCCTATGAGGACAGGCTGAAAGAGTTGGGGCTGTTCAGCCAGGAGAAGAGAAGGCTCCAGGGAGATCTATAGCAGCCTTCCAATACCTGAAGGGGCTACAAGAAAGCTGGGGAAGGACTTTTCATGAGGGCAGTTAATGACAGAACAAGGGGAAATGGATTTAAGCTGAAAGAGGGGAGGTTTAGATTAGATATTAGGAAGAAGTTCTTCACTGTGAGGGTGGTGAGACACTGGAACAGGTTGCCCAAGGAAGTTGTGGATGCCCCCTCCCTGGAAGTGTTGAAGGCCAGGTTGGATGAGGCTTTGAGCAACGTGGTCTAGTGGAAGGTGTCCCTGCTGATGGCAGGGGGGTTGGAACTGGATGATCTTGAAGGTCCCTTCCAACCCAAACCATTCTATGATTCTATGAGTTAAAAAGAAAAAAAGAAAAAGGTAAAAGGGAGAATTAGGCAAACACTTGGAGGTTGGATCCACTGATCTGTGTTAAATGCAGTGGTTGCCATATGACCTCTCACTGGGAGAGTTCTTAAACCACTGGCAGCTACAAGGGCAGATCCAGGGGATGGATCTACTCACGCTTCCTTCCTACAGCCATGACAAAGCATCCCTTTGTGATGCTCATTAGAGAAGGGCTATTGCACCATCAGTGCCCATGGATTCATGGTGCACTCATAGCTGCTGTACTCATCTGAGTGTTGAGATTTAATTAGAGAAGCAAGGGAGGGGACAAACTGCTAACAACTCCTAAACAGCATAATTCCCCAGCCTGTTGGATGCCAGCAAGGGATGCTGAGATGGACCCAACTCCTTCTCTGAGGTTATGGGTGCTCTGACATTTGCCTTTTCCCTTCCCTGGGCTGCCCCTGCTCCCACCAGCCACAGAAAATGCAATGACTGATTGTTGCTTCTTCACCTGGGGCTGAAGGCAGGTAGGAAAAAAGAGTCATTTGTTTCCTCATTCTTTTTTGTTTTTTCCTCTTAAAAAACACCCTTGCCTGATGACAGGACAAGGGACAATGGGCACAAACTGGAACAGTGGAAGTTCCAGACAAACTGAAGGAAAAACTTCTTTCCTGTGAGGGTGCCAGAGCCCTGGGACAGGCTGCCCAGAGAGGGTGTGGAGTCTCCATCTCTGGAGATGTTTAAAACCCACCTGGACACTTTCCTGTGCAACCTGGTGTAGTGAACCTGCTTTGGCAGGGGGGTTGGACTAGATCATCTCCTGAGGTCCCTTCCAACCCTTAACATTCTCTTATTCTGTGATCTAACAGAGGCAGGAAACCACTTACCAGTTCCTTCCTGAGCCACGTCAAAGCTTCATCGATGCTCTCAAAGCCACCTATTCTTCCTGAGGTAAGAGTCACCTTGTCTTGGGCAGGGCTCCCATTGAGATGCAGCTGCACCTTCCTCAAGGGAACAGTCTCCCCCATGGCCTTTTTGGCCTCGGTTGCCTCCTCCTCTCCCGTTGGCTGGGGACTCTTCCATGCCTGCTCCTCCAGCTTTGCCTTCCACTCCAAGTAGGATGGGCGCCTGGTTTCCAGTCTCAGTTTCTCCGTCAATGCCTTGAGGCTCCTCAGGTGGTCATCAGGAGGAGCAGCACCTCCAGACCCAGCATCTGTGCTGTCCAGTGCCTCTTCTATTTGGATTTTGGGTACAGACATCCTTTTTGGGAGTCAAATGGCATAGGCGTGGGCTGCAAAGGGCCAGGGATGGAGGCAGGAAACCCTCAGGGCTGGACCAGCTCCTGCAGTGTGACAAACACAACCCTTCAGAGGACAGCCGTGGTGGTGGTGGCTCCTGCTCAAGCACCGTGCCAGCCCTGGATGAACACCTAGAAGAAAAGCAGAGGGTTGGTTTCCAGACTGAAAAGGAAAAGGGAGTGAGAAAGGAGAGATGACTCTTGCTGCAGCAGAGAGAGGAGGGCTTTGGGAGAGGCACGGTGCCAAGGTGCTCCTGTGGAGCGTTACCTCACCTCAGCTATCTGACTGCTTTTGGGGCAGGAACAGACAGGCTCCAGCTTTTAGGGAAATTTTTATTTCCTCAAGGGGCCATGAAAGGGTTTCCAAGGTTGCCAGAACACATTCACAGACCCCTCTGGGGCTGCATCACACAACCCAACATCCTCTGGAGAAAGCAATGGCTGTTGCTGGGGTTTGGGGATGTCTATGTGGTTGGACTCGATGATCTATGGTTGGACTCAATCTTATGGTTGGACTCAATGATCTTAAAGATCTTTTCCAACCAAAACAATTCTATGATTCTACTATGCACACTGTTTTGCTGAATTCCTGGCTGGCAAACCTACATCTTTCCACTTGGGTAAAACAGGACCAGGTGAAGTAAGACAACCCAAACTTCTCACAGGAGTTTGAGCCAAAAGGAGAGCTGGGAAACGTGACTTTTTCCCCCCCTGAGTTTTACAGATTTGTGTTTAGGTCTAGGTTTGCTAAAGATGTCAATCTGTAGCCATAAGATTCATCTCCTGCCCATCCAGCAGGCTTGGGGCAGGACCACAGTCCCTGGCCAAGTGTAGGAGTAGCTGGTGTGCTGGCATGGTTTGGGCTCAGATGCCAGCACTCAAGGAGACTTGGACTTGTGGTTTCCATCACTGCCCATGTCCAGTATACCTATTAGGAAGGGTTCCAATGGTCCCCTTGAAAACGTTCTGGTGGAGGACTAACAAAGAGAAGCCAGGAGTTTCCTCCCAGCTTTGCCTCCTGTTGCCACACGTGGACTCAGAGAAGCTGTGCCCAAAGCTGGTATACCAAACTGTGGGACCTAAAGGCAGAGAAGACTCAAACAACTCCGCAACTGTTAAGCTCAAGCAGCTTCTGCATTCATTTGCCAGTAGGATCAGATAAGAGACTTTCTCAAGGTCGTATATTCATCTATGACTGAGCCAGGAATAGAACCAGAGCTCTCTGTCTACACATTGAACACAAAACAAAATACTTCTTTGCCTTCCTGGTGACATGCCCAGAAAGACCAGCCAGGATGTATGCAGCTTTCTAGCTAGATGTACTAACCCATGGCAGTATGAGCTACTCAACCATTCCTTCCCCTACTATTTGTGCCCACAAGGATGTGTGTAACTCTGAAATCCAGACCATAATTATGCCTCTCGAACCTTTTCAGTTAGAAGATTCAATTTAAAATAAACACCAACAGAGAGTAAGATTTATCCCACAATTGTCTGCAGGCACATGAGCTGAACAAGGAGTTGATAATATACACACAGACAGTCTGGGGGTGGAGAATTAGTCATGTTGCGGTCTTGTTCCTACTCTTATTTATGTTAATGAGAGTTTGACGGTGAGCGGGAGCAAACAGAGATACTATATCAGGCTGAAGCCAACGGCTCTCATGCCTGGAACAGCAACAATTTTCTTTCTTCCACTGAAAAATAAATGGTTTGGAGGGGAAAGCAGAGGGCTGACCTGTCAGAAAGTCAAGTCCCTGCAGCAGCTCTTGTGTGGATGTTCTGTAGAGCTCAGGCCATGTCAAGGAATTTCACTTGCCTACCAAAATCAATAAAGGGAAATGCTTACTGACCTTAAAGACCTCACCTCTGAGCTTTTTTTCTTTCTATCTGTTGAGATTGACATTGCTAGGGGTGGTCAAAACCAGCAGCCCAATAGAATCTGCTGCAACTCCACTCTGGGCTGCTGGATTTGGTGACCCCTAACAAATATCATACTTTTATTGTAAGGTTGACTTTTCTGAATCCCACAGCTACAAAGCAGAGCCCCTACAAACTTGTTTTGTGTCTTCTGGATGCATGAAATCCTCAGAGTGGAAAAGGATCTCATTATTTAAGCCCTGGGTACCTCCCTGTTAGCATTTATGGCACTGGATGTTGAAAACATGACAACAGTTTGGAGCATCCCCTTTGCCACGACCCTGCTGCTGTTTCTCCCTCCCCATTACAGCTTCCCAGCGGCTGCGGATGGATTTTATTTTCCTACCTTAAAAGCAGCATTGATCCAACCCATCCTTCACCTCCTCCCAGATTCCAACATGAAACTTCTCATTCACTCTGGAAGGTCACCCCCTAAATAGGCACCTCTGTTCCCCAGCTTGTCCAAACTCAAAAACAACAGAGAGGAACTGATGTCCCTGCTCACTGCACGGGGGTTGGACTAGATGACCTTTAAAGGTCCCTTCCAACCCAAACCATTCTATGATGCTATGATCAATAGCTTGGACTCAAGTTAAAGACCTGCTGTGGAAAAAGAGATCTGAAAGTGGTAAGCCTGTGAAAAATGTCTGTGTGAGAGGCTGTAATACAAACCCCTTTGCTGTCTGAGAGATACCTAATTCCCAGGAAAAAAACCCTGGCTTCTGGCTCAGATCAACAGATCTCCCAGTCTCCTTGTCCCAGGCTCAGTTTCTCCCTAGGCTGACCTGTGCAAGGGAATTTAAGTGATTAACCCTTCATCTGTCTTCATTATCACACTTGTCAGGCTCAGGGCATTCATTCCATGCCTAATTAGTGTTAACAGCAGTTCATCACCAAAATGGGATGAGGGTCTGCTCCCACCTCACTAAGACCCTTTGCTGAGGGATTTCCCCCTTGCCTTGCATGAATCCTATCAAACCTGAAGCCACAAGGACACATCAGGTCACTGAGACAACAAAAAACCTCTTAATTTCTTTGTTGGGTTAGTTTTCCATTGGAGAATTCAGCTTAACTGACCTACCCTGTGAGCTGTAATGCAAAGGGATTGGCAGAAGCCAAGGATCAGGCTGGAGAAATAACAGGACTGTCAAACTGGATTGGGTGTGAAGTCCTACCACGCCAAGACTCACAGAGCTGGCGTGCCCTGAGGCTTGACTTTTCCATGGTTGCAATGAAGCAATGCAGATCCTGCTCTCTCCCATGCCAGACACATCTTGTGAAGCTCATGGGGTGTCCTATGCTCTAAGAAACCAGGTCCAGTGGTACAATCTGCCACTACAACTTCTCACTGCAGTCATTCCACCAACCCTGAAGCAGATGCAGAAGACCTATCCACATCAAACACCCTTAGACATCCCTGCCCATGCATTGGAGCAGGGGATCAGAAGAACATCCCCTGACAAACCAGGTGTGATGGGACAAGTACTTGGAAGCACATGGTGGTGTATAGGGGTGTGAGCAAAGCTTTGCTTTATCATCACTGATGATGGATAACAATAAATGCAGATGATTTTCATGGTCAAAAGGGAGATTGCACAAAATGATGCTCGGCACAACCTTTTACCCTGCAGGAGTTTTATGTGCCTGAGAAATTTTATACATCTGTCCCTTCCCCATCAGCTCTCTGTGCCCTGGTCAGCTTTGAACATGAGGATTTCATGAAGCAGCATTGGTTGGTATGTACTGGACCAGAGCAGTACAAGTACACCCTGTAAATAAGGACACAGGGTGTTGTGGAAGGTCACACGCTGGGGAGGAAGAGGTCTAGGAGAAGAAAGGAAAAAAAAAGAAGAGAGAAACACTCAGGATGGAAGTGAGAGGGGAAAAGTAGAATAAATAAAACTATCAACCAGGATGGAGGTGTGAGGACAAATTATTCTGCTCCCTTCACTATTCCTAATGGAGTTCAGCTGACTGTAACACCATTTTTTTATTGCAGAGGAGAAGCAGTGACTGTGAAAATCTATTTTACTCTGCTCATCTAGTTTCTGAGAAGAAAAAAAAGCCTCAGTATGAGACAGAGCCCAGGCTGAGGGAATCACCGAATCCCAGAACTGCCTGGATTGGAAAAGCCCTTTAAGATCATCAATCCAACCATGAACCCAACACTGACAAGTCCCCGACTAACCCATTTCCCTCAGCACTATGTCTATACCACTCTTCAATCCCTCCAGGGATGGGGACTCCACCACTGCCCTGGGCAACCCCTTCCAATGCCTCAGAACCCTTTCAGCAAAGAAATTCTTCCTCACATCCAATCTCAACTGCCCTGGCCACAACTTGAGGCCATTTCCTCTTGTCCTGTCACTTGTTCCTTGGTTTAACAGACCCACCCCCACCTCTCTCCACCCTCCTCCAAGGGACTTGCACAGAGCCAGAAGGTCTCCCCTCAGCCTCCTTTTCTCCAGGCTCAACAACTCCAGTTCCCCCAGCTGTGAACTCATCACACTTGTGCTCCAGACCCTTCCCCAGCTCTGTTGCCCTTCTCTGGACACACTCCAGCACCTCAAATTGCACCTACCGACCTCATCATCAAGCTCTGCAGGTCCCAGTATGTGAGGAGGACCCTGAGCCTGAAACAGCAAGCTGAAGAAATGTCGAGGTGGAGCAAGAGGTAGGGGAACAGTGCCTGGTGTCCATACCCTGGGCAGGGAGAAACATGTTTATTTTCCTTCTCAGCACATCAAAAAGACAGGGATGGGGTGGGGATGGCTGACCCCCCCGGAGGTCTGCAGCAGGTTGAGAGCAAGGGCAGTGAGAAGGAATTGCCTGTGCAAGGAGGTTGCCATAGCAATGGAGTAAAGGAGGACTCTGGCTGCTGCACTGTGGTGGATGAAGGTTCCTGAGCATCCTCTGGACAGAGAATGAAGGGAAGAGAGAACCATCTGGGTCAACGTCGTGACTCCCTGGAACCAACTGTTCCCTTTCAGGGAGGCTGCACTTGAATCACTCTTTTCCCTGTGACAAAATGACTTCACTCAG